TGCAGCCGCTAGGATGATTCGCCCTGGTGTGACAACTGATGAGATTGATCGAGTGGTTCATGAAGCAACTATTGCAGCAGGTTTGTAGTTTTCAGGTTTTCTTATCCACTTGGAAGTTAATCGCTTAATATCAACAGAGCAGCACTATAACCGCTATTATATAATCTTTTGCTCTGGTAGGAGGATATCCATCACCTCTCAACTACTACTTCTTTCCAAAATCTTGCTGCACGTAGGTACTTCTATCGCATCTACATTTTTACCTCTACCAAGCAATTCCTCTACCTCCTAATGTGTATTCTTTGAATGTTCCCTTTCAGATCTGTTAATGAAGTGATTTGTCATGGAATTCCGGATGCTAGGTATACTTACTGACTGGAATCTTCAGAGCGTTTCTGACAAAAAAAAAGCGTAGAAGACCTAACAAAGTTTATTCTAATGATTCTTTGTGTTTTAATTGCTTCAGAAAACTAGAAGATGGGGATATAGTAAATGTTGATGTAACAGTTTGCTATAAAGGTTGCCATGGTATGTTATCTCCTGAAAAAAATTGATTAGTTTATCGTGATAGGTACCAATGGAGATATCCTGTCTCACAGTATGATTTATGGATAGGTGACCTTAATGAGACATACTTTGTTGGAAATGTTGACGAAGCATCACGTCAATTGGTTAAGTGCACATATGAGTGCCTGGAGAAGGCCATAGCAATTGGTAAGTGTTCTTAGTTTTGGTGTTTGGACTGTTAATATCTAATATTAAATATATGCTGATAGTTTATGTGTGTTTTTCTTTTTTCAGTTAAACCTGGCGTTAGATTCCGTGAAATCGGAGAGATAGTCAACCGTCATGCTACGATGTCTGGGTTATCAGTGGTAAAAGTCTAGCACCTTTTTTTTTGTGTTTGATAGGATCTGATCGTAGAAATTTTGTGTACTGTGTTAATAACGTGTGATGGTTGAATAGGTGAGATCGTATTGTGGTCATGGAATTGGGGATCTCTTCCATTGCGCCCCAAACATTCCACATTATGCAAGTATCCTTTTGAGTCTTGGCTGAAGATCTAAAGAACGTTAGCTTTTAGTACTTGAAATGTTAATCTATTAGATTGTAAATATCCTTAACCCCAAAATCAGGAAACAAAGCAGTTGGAGTGATGAAAGCAGGTCAGACTTTCACAATTGAGCCAATGATCAACGCCGGTGAGTTTTGTTTTTTTCATTCGCTAGATTTTTAAAAGTTCTACTTACTCTTTAGTTAGTGAGTTGAGTTCTCTATTGAAAGCGTAAGGACATTGTCATGATAGGGTCGTGGCGGGATCGAACATGGCCTGATGGATGGACCGCAGTTACTGCAGATGGAAAACGCAGTGCTCAGTTTGAGCATACTCTCTTGGTAAAAACCTTTAAAATTTGAATAGAAAGGAACCAGATTCGGTATTGATCAGAGGTAAATCATATGCAACTTTTTGCAGGTAACTGAGACAGGTGTTGAGGTTCTAACGGCGAGGCTTCCTTCATCACCAGATGTATTCCCTTGGCTTAAGAAGTGATTGAAGCGTATGGTTTGGTTCATAATCTTTGGGATAATAGCGTGTCATCTTTTTGCTATTGAAGACACCATGTGTTGTTGCCTTTGTCTTTGTTTTTGTTTATGTAACTTTATGCAGAAACAATCTGTGCCAGTGTTTTGATTGAAATGTAAGGAACCTACCTATATTTATGATGAATCGAAAGATAATACATTTTCAAATTTTTGTCTCTATACAAATTATTATTGAGAATTTTTTGGGGTTAAAACTTAAAAGTTAGAATCTAAACCTGAACCTGAAATTAGGCTTATTTTCTTTTTCCTTCTATCAATAGTTTTTTCTTGATTGGGAAATAAACATCTTGTTTTGCTCATGCGTTCTGACCAATTACATTTAGGCTTACTGAAATCATAATTTATAACAAGTAGACAACAAAAGTTGCACAACATAGTGGGAAGTCTTAAGACAATTGTTCAGATACAAGTAAAACCTCCTTTCATTCAACGACCTTCACACCTGAAACATAAACTCGGCTCTGAACCACACTTCCACCAATCCAAAACCCAGGCATCACCATAAGACCAACTCTTGGACTCTCTCCCTTTTCATCCACAACTATGTTCTTCAAAACACTCTCCATGTATGAATCAGAGAACTCACTACCCTTTTTCACCTGGAAGATCTTTGCAGCTGGATCAAAAGAGTAAGCCAGCCTATGCAAGATCCACACCGACTTCGCTAGCTTCAAGAAAGCCTGGTAAAACCCAGTCCTCGGGTGCCCACCTCCTGCCACGTAGTCACGCTGGTCCAAGTTTCCAAAGAAAGAAGCTTCCATCTTTGGGTGGATCAAGATGAGATACTTGCTCCTGCAGAACTTACCAAAGTTGGAATCAGCGTTTGTACACAGAGCATCTAGCGGATCCATGTCCTTTAGAGACAAAAACTGACGGAAGAATGTCTCAGTGTCATCATCATCGGCCTCCACCATTGCACTCTCTGAGGAGAAATCTTTATGCTGAAACCCACTGAACATCCTCTGGCATATATACGACTCAAACGCATACTTCTTGTGAGGCCTCTTGGCGTAAGCCACATCAGGCTCAATAGACTCAGCTGCAGAGTCAAGATCCCACCCCGCAGCTTTCATCATATTGATCAACGGCTTGGAGAAATCATGAACAGCTTTAGAAGCAGCTTCATAGGTAGACATAAAGAGCTCAACGTTCAAATCAGGAAACTCCATACTCCCACCATCTTCGTTTGAGGAAGACATTCCTCTCAACTTAAGATTCTTCTCAAGCTTAACACGCTTCTGATTCGCTTCCTCGATCTTCTCCAACATCTGAGTGATCTCAGAGTCCTTGTTCTGTATCTCAGACTGAAACTTCTTCACCATAACCTCATAAGTCTTCAGCAAACTCTGCTGCTCTTGAATCTCTGCAGCTAAGCGAGAGTCTTGTGGAGAGACACACACAGGCTTAGGGTTGTTCTCTCTGTAGAAATGTTTCAGTTCAGAGAGATTCTTGAGTTCGGAGATCACAACCTTGTCGGCTTCCTGAATCTTGTCGGGGTCGTAAGGAGTGTGAGCAGATTGAAGCTGGATGTAAGCAGATTTTAGAGATGAGATGTTGCCAAAGAGGTTGGAGATGAGAGCTTCCATAGCTTCAGGGTTTTGGTTGATAGATTGTTGTTGTTCCATTGGTTGAGGATGAACCTTCTGATTGTTGTTGTTGAGTTGGGTTTCTTTCAACCCACTAGGTTGCATACTTGAAACCTACCAAATTTTTTTAAAAAATTGGATCTTTCTAATCTCAGACAAAACTCTCCTGCAAGTAAAAAAAAAAAATTGTCGTTTTTTTTTTATTTTGTCGTTTTTATTTATTTTTTAATCTTAGCTCAGACAAAACCCATCTAATCTTGTCTTAGATCTCGAAGTGAATCTATGAAAATCTGGATCTTGTTGAATCTCAGAAGCTATGGAGAATGTGTAGACATCAAACCCTAGAAACATCACTATTCAGAGACAATAAGGGAGTTTTGGAGTTGAATACACTTACAATCAGCTTTCACGCCAAGTATGTGGAGGAAGACGTAACCATCAAGGTCAAGGCAGATTTATTCGCCGGAAACTTTAGCCGGAGGTGAAGAGAGAAATGAATGATTGCTTTTGTATATGGAAAGGAAATGGTGGAGAAGATCGAGGAAGCGAATCAGAAGCGACGTAACCCCTTTCCCTGTTTCTTTGAGACGGAGGAACGGCGTCGTACAGATAAAGGAGGAACGATGTCGTTTTGTAATAAACGCGCTGCTTCCTAAAATCAAACAGATACCAAAGGTTACTTATTACTAAGTTGAGCGCGTTAGGTGATTTCACAAGGTGGTGCGAGTGGGAAAGTTTAAAAAGTGAATTTGAGTTATTAAATTTAGTTTTTTTCAGAAAATTTTTTTTACCCACAATTAGTTTGTTAAAATCTATTAGTTGAAAACTGTATTTATAAGTTTTGAACATTTTGAAGTTTTTAAAAATGTTGATCTAGGAAGGACCAAACTATTTTTTTTTAATTGACGTCGTGTTGTTTTCTGTGTATCAGTAGAAACTGCATGTTGTTTAAGATATGTTTGACATCTTGAAGTTTATCTGGGCTGAAATATATTACATACGGCCCATTTTATATATAAAATGGGCTTACATTTATCGATGAATGATATACCGAAGTGAGACATACAACACCAGTGGCACAACAATTAATGCGTAGCCATAGATGCCAAATTTATATATAGTTCACATATAGTGTTGAGAACAATGATTAGGAAAAAACAACAAAAAAAAAAGAAGAAGAAAAGGATGCGAATAAGAGTTGAGAACAATGCGAATAAGGATTTTATTAGTTGTTAAAATAAAAAAATGTCTCTTCCTCTGCCATTGCTTCTTCCACCACCAATTTTGTGCCTAGATCTAGGCTCATCAAAAACAATAGTTCAAAGGCATTTTCTCTGCTGTAAAAAACAAAATTTAATTAGCATTCACTAACTGGTAACAAAGTAGAAGTTGAAAGACAAATAATTAAAACTTACGCGCGGTTTTGTGGAGTGTGCGGGTCTTTGTCGCCCCTCAGGAGAAAGCACAACACGGATTCGACAACCAAGCAAAGGTCTACCGTGAAATTGCAGTGCCTTTTAATTACAAATGGGTTAAACCCGCAATAGACCCATCTAATCTTGTCTAGATCTCGAAGTGAATCATCATTATTTTGATAAGATATGGGATCTTGTGGACTACGAATGTAATTGGTTTAGAACATACATACCAGATTAGCGGTTTTGATTATGTTCCAGTGACGGTTAGATTGGCTTTGTTCAATTATTTCAGTTTGTGTCATCCCAGTTTAGTTATGTTCACTCGTATCGCCGTCTAACTAAATTTATAGGTTTTCATATTTTCAATTTGGCAGTTTCGATTATTTATCTTTTATGCAGTTGTTAATGAAATTTTGCAAAACTCGAGGGACCGTTGGTTAACGGCAGCTGAATGGGACATCATCTTCATTGAAGCTGCTCGTTTCCATGTAAATCTGGTCAAATAAACGAAAAATTAATATAAATCAATATTCTTTTAGTCATAAACTTTTGAGACTAATCTATTTCTAAAATGCAGATTCATAATCCAACCCTCATACCTAACGACAATGAAGGAGTGTGGAGGGTGGATAATAAGTCAATGCTTGACATAAATGATTGGGAAATTTCCAGCCGTAAAAAGACAATAACACATCTACATCCTTTCAAAAAACCAACATTTCCCACTCGCAAGCAATGAATGCACAAGCAATGAACATAAACACAAGCTGGGATAATATTTCAGTTTGTGTCATCCCAGTTTAGTTATGTTCACTCGTAAACACTATAATAAAAAGTCAATAATTTCTTACTTTCTTAACTAAGATACTATTTAAGATAATATTTATTACCCTCCTTAAAGTTACTAATAAAAATTCAATACTTTATTTGTTTGTTTTCAATCACTTTTTAAATGTTTACCTGACGTTAAACCTTGCATACGGACCATCTGAGAGTGTTCTTTTTAAGCTAGAAATTTCCCATTGATTCAAGTCAATCATTGACCTGTTATCAACCCTCCAAACTCCTTCAGTGTGTTTAGGAATGAACAATGCGTTGTAAATCTACAATTTTAAAATAGAATAGCAGTTTTACCTGGAAACGACAATGAAGAAATGTGGAGGGTGGATAAAAGTCAATGATAATGATAATGGTTATTAGCATTTACCTGATGTTAAACCTAGCATGTGGACCATCTGACATTGTTCTTTTCTGACTTGAAATGTCCCATTGATTGAGATCAAGCGTTGATTTGGTATCAATCCTCCAAACACCTTCCTCATTTTTTGGAATGAGTAACGCATTATAAATCTGCAAATAGATTAGAAAGTTAATGAATATAAAAAGCTTGAGTTAATATTATTTGTTTTTCATTTTTTTTAGCAACCTGGAATCGGTTCTTCTCGATGAAAAGCAAGTCCCATTCAGCAGCTGTCAGCCATCTCTCTCTTGAAGTTTGCAGGATGTGATTCACAACTAGAATCGAAATTAAATTGAATCATAACATGAATCATAGAATCATAACTTGAATAAATAAAATCCTAAAAAGTAGTCTCTACATGTGAACTTATCATAGCTTCATAACTTGAATCGCAAATCGAAATCGAAATAAAATCCTAAAAAGTAGTCTCTACATGTGAACTTATCATAGCTTCATAACTTGAATCGCAAATCGAAATCGCAAATTGAAATCTGAAACTTTACTATAACTTCATAACTTGAATCGAAAATCGGAATCTGAAAACCTACTTGCGTCTCCGAAGACAATATCATGGAGGTTCTCCGCCGCTTCGTTAATTTGTCCGCCGTTCATCTTCGTGTGTTTGAACTTTTTTTTGAGCGCTCAGAAGTGAGATCTGTAGAGTGAAAATATCTGTGTTTGAACAGATATATACTTAATAGGCCCAAAACTTAATAGGCCTAAAAAAATAGAAAACTTAATAGGCCCAAAAATAGAAAACCTTATAGACCTGTGTTGCAATTTGCATTGTGTTTAGAATTATATTTTATCGATGAATGTGTTAAAAGACAATAACAGATCTACATCCTTTAAAAAAACCAACATTTCCCACTCTCAAGCAATGAATGCACAAGCAATGAACACCACATAAACACAAGCTCTCGTGAATCAACATGCACTTAATCTAGATGAAAGATATAATCAAAAGGTAAAGCCTTTATGACGTAACCTTTCCCTGTTTCTAGTTTACAAATGTTTATACTTTGTTTGATCTAACTCTTTGTGTTTTTTTAGTTTTCAAGTCGCTTATCCAAGATTTTTTATCTAAATCTGAATATGCGGTTCATGTCTCCTGTCCTCTAGATTTCCTGTAGAATTAAAAACAGTTTTATTAGTCATAGTTAACAAGTTATCTAACTAACCCTGTGAAAACACCTCACAACTCGTAAAGGTATTGGACAAATGTCATCGCGTCTTCAGCGAAGACACATCTCACAACTTTCCTCTCCAATGAAATATTTGTGCCTGGGAGGTTGGGTCCTTTTGACCACCTATATTTTTAAAAAAATTATTAGATGTTTACAGGTTTTGCTAATAATAGTATTTCTTTACCTTCTAGTTTATTTAAGATAGTATTTATTAGCAGAGTTAATTAAGGTAGTATTTAAGATTGTATATATTACCGACACACTCTAATAAAAAGTCAGTTAGACAATATTGAATTTTTATTAGTGTTTTTAAGGAGGGTAATAAATATTATCTTAAATAGTACTCCCTCTGTTTCTTAAAGATACATATTCTAGAAAAAAAAAATATTTCTAAAAGATTTATTTTTTTACATTTTCAACACATGTTTTATTAACTAATTGTAAACTTCAGAAAACTTGATTGCACTAATTGATTTTTTATTGGTTTTAAATTATGGAAAAAAGATAAATACAAAATGCAAATTTATTGTGTTTTATTAAAAAGTGTGAAAAAACTAGAATATAGATATTTTAAGAACAGAGGGATGTATCTTAACTTGAATCGACATTTGAATAACTTGAATCTTAACTTGAATCGTAACTTGAATCGAAACTTGAATCGTAACTTGAATCATAACTTGAATCGAAACTTGAATAAATAATCGAAATCTGAAAACCTAAAAAGTAATATCTCAAAACCTGCGTCTCCGATCACAATGTCCTGGAGGTTCATGGCAGCTTGATTAATGAATTCGTCGCCATCACCATTGCCGTTTATCTTCGATTGATTCCTGTTATTTTGAATTTTGTTTTAGCGTTGAGATGTGTTATTAAGAGTGAAAATATCTGTTATTTGAACAGTTTTTATTGGGCGTAGTATTTTTCTTAACATAATGGGCTTCTCACTTATTTACATACTTAAGGAATATTTGTTTTGTACCTTAATTAAGAGTGAAAATATCTCTGACTCGCAAGCCATGAACGCACAAGCAATGAACGCCGCAAAACCACAAGCCGATCTCGTGAATCAACCTACACTTGATCTACATGATATGGTGTTTGGAGATGCAGGTAACAGAACTAGTATCATGTATTGTTGTCTTTATAGATTTAGTTAGTGTTTGTTTTTATTATTTTATTTCGCAACAGTTTAAACTGAAAAAGTTAGACAACCAAAAAGAATAAAACTTGAGTTCACCTTATGTGGTGAATTATTTAATTCACCTCAATCTTTAACACTAATCAAATTGACACATAAGATTAATGAAAAAATATATTAAAACTTTTTTCTTAAAAAGGAAAATAGCTTAAAAGAAAAAAGGAAGTCGCCGTTAATGAAAGCATAGGACATGATCTCCATAGTTAACGAACCAATAGAACGTGATTTAAATTTGATAACAGGAAGCTCGTCTGTGATCTCCATCGGTTTCTTGTTCTTTATTGCCCATAGAAAAGAAAGGAAGCTTTGTTTGCCAAGGAGTAGAACGTGCCCTTGATATAATCTTTTAGGTTTGAGAATTCTTCTGAAATTTGATGATAGGAAGCGGCTCTCAAGTAATTCATAGCGTGACTTACATGTGATAAATGGATCTGTCAAGTAGTAATAGTAACAATATTATTACTTCCTCATTTTTTTTCAGTTTTGTCTATATCAAGAAGTTAAGGCTAACTTACCACTTGACTGTTTCCTCCATCAATATCAACCTTGTTACCAAGCAACATGAACAGGAACGCTACTTGAGCCTAAGAATCTTCCAGAAAAATAATTGGAGAAGAAAGGTACGTACAAAGGACAAAATAACCTGTTTAAGAAACTTCTTGTGCCAACTGTCCACAGAATCAAATGACTTGAGGTAGTTAACATCATAAACAAGCACATGACTTGAGATGGTTAACATCATAAACAAGCACACAACAATCTGCACCTCTGTAGAAGCAACACCAAGACTCTGGAACCTCTCTTACCTAGCAGTGTCTCAAATCATGTCATGGGAACGTTGAGAGACTCCTAAGAAAACCTCTCTAAACTTGTTATCTTTTATCATTTCAGTAATCATAAATAATATCAGTTATCTTCTTTCTCGTTATTACTCTATTTACAAGTTTTGAAACGTTGATCGTATCAGGATGTTACAGAGATTGGTAAGCCATCTCCATCACAGAGATTGGTCTTTTTTTTATATTTTAATCTCTGACAAAACCAATATAATCTTGTCTAGATGTCGAAGTGAATCATCACTTTCGATATGAAAATCTGGATCTTGTTGACTAAGAAGCTATGGAGAATGTGTAGATAGACATCAAACCCTAAACATCACTTACATTCAGAGACAATAAGAAGTTTTGGCGTTGAATACACTTACAATCAACTTTCACGCCAAGTACGTGGAGGACGACGTAACCATCAAGTTCCGACTCGCCGTGGTTTAGACTAAACCGAAACTTGAGTCGGTTCAATATTTTCGGTTTGTGGACAAGTAAACCGGATTTACGATTTGATTATGTTCCAAATGGTCAGTTTGATTGAGATTAAACCGGATCGGGCACTTCTCCAGTCCAAACCGTAATCCATCTTCTCCACATTTTTTTTTGTCTCTCCCTATCTCGTGTGGGTGAAATGGTCCGGCTGTTTCTCACACTTTCTCCGGCAATTTCCCGATTGAGTTTCCTAGCTGCTGCGTCACCTTCTCTCAGATTACAACGACACCATTTTCATAAACTTAAACCCAAAATCTCGCTTATTGCTGCATCCAATTTTCAGAGGACAGGTTCTTCTTGTTCTACAAGAACAACTAGAGTTTCCTCCTCACAACCCAAAAGTGAAAGTTCGAAACTTGATGATGGTTTGATTGTTCTAGGCATTGAGACGAGCTGCGACGACACTGCCGCTGCTGTCGTAAGCCCATTTGGTCTCTCTTTCTCTCTCTCTTTGTTTGGGAACTTATAAGTCCACTGATGTTGGAACCTTTGGTTGTTTAGGTGAGAGGGAATGGTGAAATTCTTAGTCAAGTCATTTCTTCTCAGGTAAAAATCATTCCTTTGCTTACTAATGTTAAAGAGTGTTATGTTTCTGACAAGACACAGTTTCGTCTTGACGTCTCTCTCTGTATAGAAATCTTTTCTTTATATAAATTTGTCTAAGTTTGATCTCGGAATTGTTGACATTTTAAAGGCAGAGCTGCTTGCCCAATATGGAGGCGTGGCTCCCAAACAAGCTGAAGAAGCACACTCTCGGGTTATTGATAAGGTAAAAACACTATACTAGACTCTTTTCTCACTGCAAATCATGTATACTAGTTTCTTTTTCTTGACTACTTTTTTTGGGGAAGAAGATAATATGTGTGTGTATATTCATTGGCTTTAGGTTGTGCAAGACGCACTAGATAAAGCAAATTTGACAGAGAAGGATCTCTCTGCGGTTGCTGTTACCATTGGACCTGGTTTGGGCCTCTGTCTACGCGGTAAGTTGCAGAAGAAAAAAGTATCTACTCCTGTTCTTTGATATAGTTAAGTGTTGTTAGAGAACTAAGATATAAAGTGTTTCTTTCTTTCTTCTGATTCATACAGTTGGTGTGCAGAAGGCTCGAAGAGTCGCTGGTGCTTTTAATCTCCCAATCGTCGGAGTGCATCACATGGAGGCTCATGCCCTTGTAGCCAGGTAATGTGCTAGCTTTACATTCAACCTTGAGATTATTTTTTTTTAAACTTCTCATCAGCTTTTGATTTGTCTTTGTAGACTAGTGGAACATGAATTAAGCTTTCCTTTCATGGCATTGCTTATATCAGGTATTGCATTAGCAGAAGGATAACAATATAACTAAAGAGAGCTTTAGGTTTCTACTAGAAGTAATGTTTTTTAAAACTGTGTAGGAGGGCATAATATTCTAGTTCTTGCTCATAAGCTTGGTCAGTACACACAACTTGGGACTACAGTAGATGATGCTATAGGAGAGGCATTTGACAAGACAGCAAAATGGCTTGGTCTTGATTTGCGCAGAAGTGGTGGACCAGCTGTTGAAGAACTTGCTCTTGAGGGTGATGCAAACTCTGTTAAGTTTAATGTAAGTGAAACTAGTTTCGCTGCTCTTTCCTTGTTCTACTCCATTGTTCGCATCATGTATTATGTTATGTTGTTGTTAACACTTGTTTATCATCAGGTTCCAATGAAAAATCATAAAGATTGTAACTTCTCTTATGCTGGTTTGAAGACGCAAGTTAGGCTAGCCATTGAAGCCAGAGAAATGTAACCTTTGATAATACTTAGATCTTAAAATCAGCTTCTAAAGTTGTTAACTTGTGAAGTATTTTTTTTTGATGGATGTGTAGTGATGGTCAATGTCCTGTTTCTTCTGCAACAAAGGAAGACAGAAGAAACAGAGCTGATATTGCTGCTTCTTTCCAGGTACA